TTTCCTGTTCAGCCTTGAAACTGACCTCATTAGGATAACAGGTACTAATGCATTGCCTTGCTGTGGTGCTTTATTTTTACTTCTACTTTTTTTTCCCCTTTATTGATTTTTAAAAATTTTTTATTGTTGAATGTATTACAGAAGTTTCTCATTTCCCCCCCATTTCCCTCTCCTGTCCCCCTCCTGCCTTTCCCACACTGTTGTCTGTGTCCATTGGTTATGCATATAAGTTCTTTGGTTTATTTCTCCCCACCCCCCAACTTTGAGGTTTGTCAGTCTAGCAACCAATTTGTACTTCTTCTTTTTTTTCCTAAGTGTATGTTGAGCTGAAAGCTATTTATTTTTTATTTTATTTTATGAATTTTTTAATTTATTTTTTTGTTACAGATATTTTACCTTTTTACCCCATTGGCACCCCCCACCCCACCCCACCTCTGCCCCATCCCCGGCTTAGTTGTCCATGTCCATTGGTCATGCACACATGCATATAAGTTCTGTGGTTTATCTCTTCCCACCCCCCACCCCTCCACCCCCTCACCCCCTCACCCCCTCACCCCCTCGTTCACTCCGCTGCCATTTTTTCAGGTCTCCCAATTTGTACTTCTTAATCCCTCTACCTTTTTTACCCATTCCCCCAACCCCCCTCCCATCTGGCAACCAACAAAATGTTCTCTGTATCTATGAGAATGTTTCTGTTCTGCCTGTTCATTTTATTCCAAATCAATGGTTTGCTTCTTGACTTTACATACTCTACTATTGAATCTGTGTAAATTATTCTTTATTTCAGTTAGTGCCTCCTTCATTTCTGACTGGTCCTTTTTTATGCTCTTGAGGCCCTCACTAAGTTCATTGAGCATCCTTATAAGCAGTATTTTGAACTCAGCATCTGTTAGGTTGCTTATCTCCATTTCACTTAGTTCTTTTCCTGGAGTTTTGTTCTGTTCTTTCATTTGGGACCTGTTTCTTTGTCTCCTCATTTTGGCTGCCTCCCTGTGTTTGTTTCTGTGTATTACTTAACGAGAGGTATGGGGCTAGCTGAGACCAGATGCTGCTCGTTTAGGAAAAACCTGAAGCAGGATCCAAGACAGGCCAATCCTATGGTTTAGCAAGTGGCAACAGCTTGGGTGGGCTTGAAAGTTGGGTGGGGCGGGGCCTCAGGGAGTCAGCAGGGCGGGGCTACCAGTGAGAGCCAGGTTGCTGGAGTCCCAGGTATGGTGACTGTCTGCCGCCCCAGGGAAGGGCTCACCAAAGGAACAAAGGTCTCTGACAGCACGCCTGTCCCTTGGAAAGCCCCCTGTTCAGCTCTCGCTCCAGTGCCAAACAGCTCAGTTCTTCCTTGTATGCCTCTGGTGCCCCTCGAGCTGCCTCCCCTCCGAGCTTAGAGGGAGAGAGTCCGATAAGTCCGTGCGCGGGCCCTTTAGGGAGCTGCCTGGGGCTCCAGCCGCCTCAGCCTCCCTGAGCCTCAGTTCCCACTGGTTTTTCCAGCCAGAACTTATGGGGATTCTCTTCCTGGCACTGGAACCCTGAGCGGGGCACCTGATGTGGGACAGGGACCCCTCAGTCCTCAGGAAGGACCTTCCCAGCCAGGTTTCCTCCTGATTTTTATCCGCCACACGTGGGTGTGGGACCAGCCCGTCCTCCTCTGCCCCTCCTACCAGTCTGGATGTGGCTGCTGCTGTAATTCTGTAGCTGTAGGACTTCCATCCAGCTTGATTTCAGGCGGTTTTGAATGATGGTGTTCTGTAGTTTAGTTGTAACTTGGATGTGGTTGTGGGAGGACGCGATACCACGGTTACCGCACCGCCATCTTTACTGGAAGTCTCCCCCTTTATTGATTTTATAGAAAGAGGAAGAGAGAGGGGGAGAGAGATGGAAACATCAATGAGAGAGAACATTAATTGGCCGCCTCCTGCATGCCCCTCTTTGGGGATTTGGCCTACAACCTGGGCATGTGCCCAGGCCAGGAATCAAACTGGTGACCTCTTGGTGCATGGGTCGACGCTCAGCCACTGAGCACACCAGCCGGTCAAGTGCTTTACTTGTTCAGAACATGTTTTAAGGTTATTTCATCTGATCTTATTTCAGTCCATAATCTTTGGACTGTCATTTTCAAAGATGAGTATAGAGGGAATGAAATGCCAAGAAAATTGAACAGTTTATCAAAGAACCTCTTTGCCATATGTCAAGTGCCACTTAGGGGCCATTGTGTACCTTCCATTAATCCTTAGATACATTTGAAAAGTGTTATTCAGCTAGAGATTTGTTAATCACACTGCCTTTAAAATGTGCTATAAAGTTTTTTTGGATCTTTGGAGTGAAACAAGAAATGTGTAGTTCTAATAAACACTGTGGGAAGGATGATTGGTGGATAGGAATACATTTTTTTTAAATCACATACTTGTAGTATCTATTTAAATTTTTTTTCTTAATTAATTTATTTTTGTTATAGATGTTTCTCCTTTTACCCCTACTGATTCCCCCTTCCTCTCCCCAGCTTTGTTGTCCATGTCCGTTGTTCATGCATACATGCTTATAAGTTCTGTGGTTTATCTCTCCCCCACCACGCCCTCTTCTGGGGATAGTCAATCTCTGTACCCCACTTCCACGTCTCTGGGACTACCCCATTCCTCAGACTGTTATGTTCATTATATTCCACAAAGAAGTGAGATTATATGATACTTGTCTTTCTCTGTTTGGCTTGTTTTGCTTAGGATGGCACTTTCCAGGTCCCACCATGTCGCCTCAAAGGATAAGAGATCTTTCTTTCTTACAGCTGCATAGTACTCCATTGCGTAGCTGTACCACTGCTTTTTTATTCATTCGTCTACTGATGGACACTTGGGCTGTTTCCAGATCTTAGCTATAGTAAATAGTGCTGCTACAAACATGGGGGTACATACATTCTTTCAGATTGGTGTTTCGGGCTTCTTAGGGTATATTCCTAGAAGTAGGATCACTGGGGCAAATGGAAGTTCAATTGTTAATTTTTTGAGGTAACACCAGTCTGCATTCCCACCAGCAGTGCACTAGAGTCCCCTTTTCTCCACACCCTCACCAACACTTGTTGTTTGATGATTTGTTGCTCAGATGGCGGTTGTAGTATCTATTTAAATTAGTTTTATATGTATACTCTTGGAAGTTGCTATTCTCATTTTTGTAATTTATTTTTCCAAAAAGCAATTAGGCCATATTAGGCACTTTTGGAAGATAAAAGAAGAATATAAAAGTGTTCCAAATGCTACAATGCCTGGCTGGTGTGGCTCGGTGGGTGGAGCATCATCCCATAGACTGAGAGGTCCCGTCCATTACAGGTTGCAGGCTCAATCCCCAGTAGGGGGTGTGCGGAGGCAGCTGATTGATGCTTCTGTCTCTCCCTTTCTCTCTCTAAAAAGTCAATAAAAACATATTTAAAAATAAATAAATAATAATGCTGACCATTTGAGATTGGTATTTAAACATGGGTTCCAGAGTAGACGTTTTATAAAATGAATAACCTGACTTTTGACTCTCTTCTGTAAATAAGTTCTAAATATGATTTTTATAGTAGGCAATTCTGTAGTTAATAAAAGAATTTTCCTTGTGTATGAAGATTATTCATCTTTTTTTTTTTTTTAAATCCTCACCAGAGGACATTTTTGCATTTATGTTCAGATAGAGTGGTTGGGGGTGGGGGGCATCAATGTGAGACACATTTACTGGTCGCCACCCCCATGAGCCTAACCGGGGCTGGGGACAAACAGCAACCAAGGTACGCGCCTTTAGCGGGAAGCAAACCTGGGACTCTCTGGTCTGCGGGCCGGTGCTCTAACTGCTGAGCCAAACCAGCCAGGGTTCATCTTTTCTTTTGACAAGAATGAAACACGTCTATCGTAAGTTTCTACACCAGAAATAAGGAGAAATATTAACCTCATCTCAGCTCTAGCCCCAGCTGCACTCACTCTAGAACACCTGCCTCTCAGCCCATTGCAGCTGGCACAGGTGCAGTCTGCAGCAAGGGCATTAGGAAGAATGAAGGAAATGGAAATGCAGACGTTGAATGGTCATAATTTTGCAGTTGGTTGGATGGAGGGGATAAGGAAGAATGGTAAACCCAAGGATAATCAGGTTTCAAGTATGACAGAAGTCTTTAATAGATTAAGTTTGGCAATTGAAATTTGTGGATTCAAATACCGTTTCTACAGTTCGTTTGCTCTCTGATCTTGGGCAATGTTATTAATCTCCAAACCTCAGTTTTCTCATCTATTAAATGGGTTAACATAGTACCTACTTCATGGGGCTGTTGCAGAATTTATGAGGGGAGATCCACATAAAGCACTTAGCATAGTGCCTGCGTGTTTTCCATGTTTAATCATTAATGGTGATGCTGGTTTTCTAATATAGAGAACAAAAAAAGGTAGGGATATTAAGATAGATGATTTCATTCCAGATGAACTGAGTTTGAAGTGCCCAAGGAAAATGTATTCAGTACATATCTAGGAGACAGAAATGTGGGCCTGGGACAGAAAGGGGCTCACATGTGCTACTGCAGGATTGAGGGTCCTGGCCCCGCCACTAGCTAGGCATTCATTTTCTGACAGTTTCCTAGAGGGCCTCAAAGCTCTGATTGTCTGAACTTGTGAAAACTGTTATCACCTGCGAAAATTTGCAGTTGCTCATTAGAGGGTACGTGGCTAAGCGCTGAAGACTTGGTGTGCTGTTCCCACCACTGGCTGCTGCATACGTTCCTGCTGGCTGTTCACTGCTCTAAGGTGCCAGCCGAGTGTGCAGGGAGGTGAAATCCAGCTGTCATCTGGGCACCAGGCCACGTGCCCTTGGCTGCATGAATGGGCTGGCAGTGTTTCTGCCTTGGGAGAGTTCGCCTGCTCTCCTGGTGAGAGGGCTTAGTGTTGAAAGTTGAGTCTCTATTGAAGTTAAATTCCACTTGGTCAGTATAATTTTCTTTTATAGGGATGATGTGCTGGGCATGTTACTTACATTTTCTTCTTTCTTACTGTGTGTAGATCATCAATGCCGTGGTGCTGCTGATTCTGTTGAGCGCCCTGGCGGATCCTGATCAGTATCACTTCACAAGTTCTGAACTGGGAGGTGACTTTGAGTTCATGGATGATGCTAGTAAGTACATCAGATGGCAATTGTAGATATGCTGGTCTTTTCAAGGGAAGGGAATCCGGCTTCCAGTTCTTCCTATTAAATTACAAATACTGATTCTTGGACCCACTTGAACTGATATTTAACTTTTCGTCGTTATAAGTCAAATCAACAAGTATTTATGTATTGCTCTGTTCTAAGGGCAGGAGTCTAAATAAGGGCTTCTCCCCCCCTTTTTTTTATCTTATGTTAACTTGCCCATTTTAAAAATGCATTGCTTTGTCGTAGTCTTTTTACCCCAGCCTTTTGGTCTTTTTGGGAAGGGGAGTAAATGGCAGGAAGGAAGGTTAAAAGGATAATGCATGTTTTATTGTGTCTTCCATTGGGTTTTTTTTGCTTTTTTATTTTATTTTTTTATTTTTTGGTACATGCCCCTAGTGGACACCGAACCCAGGACTCTCTGGTGCGCAGGCCAACGCTCCAACCGCTGAGCCAAACCTGCCAGGGCTCTTCCATTGTTTTAATAGCTACCTTTCTTCCAGGAGGTGATCATTCTCCATTCTAGAAACTAGGGTGGTAGTTAGTTGGTAGGTTTGGGGCTTTTCTGATAAGTAGAAACATAAGCCAGGCACCCAGCTCTCCGGACACAAATCTGAATATTTTATGACTAGAGTCACGCCGTGTCCATGCCAACTGAAAGGGGCCCCCTGTGCACAAGCCCAGACAGAGGTCATGCAGATTTATTTCTCACTGACTTTGGAGGGGAAAGGTTACTGGGACAAAGTAAGGGAGGGGAGTGGCTCAAGATACACTTTTAGAGACTGGGAGCATTTGTTGACCTGAAACAAATAGACAGCTAGATATTTCTCCAGCAAAATGGGTTTATTCCAGAACAACAAATAATTGCAATTCAGGACATGGCGTCTAATGGTGAACCATCTGCAAATCCGAAGAAAGGAGATCAAAGCATGTGAAAAGGAAATATAAAACAAAGAAATTAAAAAAAAAATTAAGAAAATATGCACTCAAGTGACTGTTTACTCTTTTGCACCTTTTTAACCATGTGATTTGAATGATAGTCCTAAAAGTAATTACAAAGTATTCATTCACTCCTTTCAAATATATGAAATATGAGAGAAACCTCAAGTGCACTGGAATTTATATCCAGGACAGTATAACATTTACTGTTTTAAAGTCTTAAATACCAGCAAGGCTTTGAAGTCAGCTAAATTAAGCCTGTTAGTGTCAGACAGTCATTACCCAGCTTAATTTCTGCAGTTAGAACAAGGCATGTGGTATTACTGTTTGATTCAGATAGAACCATAGCGTCATCATTCGAAACTTGTTTTTCTAACCCGTTACCTTAGAAAAGGAATCCTGCTGCGAAACAGTGAAAGATAATCTTTAAATGTCAATTAAACATTATATTTATAGCTTAGATAGTCTTTTAATTCAGGGGAAGAAGGCAGAGGGATCATTATCCTTTCTGGAAGAATTTGTAAGAGTAACAGGGTTATTCTGAATAGAGAGAATGAGCAGTGTAACAGCAGACATCATGTCCGAGTCTGACAAGGTCCCCAACCCCAGGATAATATAAAGCCCTGACTTCTTAGAACCATTAGGAAGCAATAGTGATGAAAGATGATGGGTAATAAAGTATCCTGATTTTTCTTTTACTGAGCCCCTTACCCTTTATACACAAGTGGAAAAGCTATGCAGACTGCCAAGCTTCTTTAGGGGTTTGGGTGGAGAGCAGGTAGGCAGCCTGGAGCCCTTTCTGAGTGACAGCAGGGAGAGCCGTACTGTGGTGCCAGGCCCCAGCTGATTATCTTTTATTTATTTATTTTTCCTTCCTATTTTGCTAATTGTCTTTCTAGTCAAGCTTATTTTTATTTTATTCTCTGGGTAGATACACCCGGCCTGAGGAAGGAAATGGCCATAAAAATGATCAAGAATTGATGGTCACCCATATATATCACCTGATTTAGGAAAAGATACTTTTGCATTTATTAGAAAAGGGATGGTCTTTCCAATAAATGGTTCTGAGTTGAAATCGATAAGAGAAAAAACAGAGCTCAGCAGTTAGAGCATCGGCCTGCGGTCCCGAGAGAGCCAGGTTCGGTTCCCGCTAAGGGCATGTACCTTGGTTGCAGTTTGTCCCCGGCCCTGGTTGGTCGTGCGGGTGGCAGCCACTCGATGTGTCCCTTCACATTGATGTTTCTCTCTCTCTCTCTCTCCCTCCCACTCTACCTGAACAAAAAAATGGAAAAATTGTCCTCAGGTGAGGATTAAAAAAAAAAGAGAGAAAAAACAGATACTTCAAAGAAGATATTCATATGACCAATAAGCATATGAAAACATTCTCCACATTATTAGTTATAAGGGAAATGCAAAATAAAAGCAGTGTAGTGAATCACTGCCCCCCTCCAATGGCCAACATTAGCAGAACTGACAGAACCACCTGTTGATATGGATGTGGAACAAATGGGACTCTCAAACTGCTGCTGGAGGGTAGATCATACAGCCTGTTTAGGAGAATTAAAGCTAGATAAACAGCTACCCGATGACCTAGCAGTTCCACTCCTAGATGTATATGCTACAGAAATGAGTGCTTGTGTCCATCATACGTCTTGTATAAACATGGTCATAGAAACTTTATTTGTAATAGCCAAAAATTAGAAAACAATCCAGATTTTCGTTTCCAGCAGAGGTAGAATGGACAGAAATAGAGTGATCATTGGTTGGGGGCAGAGGGTCGCAGGATGGGGAGGAGGGTATCTAGGGGGGGAAATGGAGAAACATCTGTAATAAAAATAAATTAATAAAAATTGAGAGAGAAGCCCTGGCCGGTTTGGCTCAGCGGTTAGAGCGTCGGCCTGCAGTCCGGAGAGACCCGGGTTCGCTTCCCGCTAAGGGCATGTACCTCGGTTGCAGTTTGTCCCCGGCCCTGGATGGGTTATGTGGGTGGCAACCACTCGATGTCTCTCTCACATCGATGTTTCTCTCTCTCCCTTCCTCTCTCCTTCCTGCTCTATCTGAAGATAAATGCAAAAAAAAAAAAAAAGAAAGAAAGAAAGAAAGAAAGATCATAGATGAAACAGTATGGGCAAAATAGGTGGTGGGGATTTATTATACTTCTCTATGTCTACTAACATACTTCTGTGTATGTTTGAAAGTTTTGATTAAAAAAAACGTAGAAACGGGGTGGGGGTGATCAGCTGGGCTTGGCAGCAGAGTGAGGCTCTCCTTGCTCTGTCATTCAGAAAGGGTCCCAGGCTGCCTGTCTGGTCTCTATTCACACCCCCACACAAGCTTGGCAGTCTGTACAGCTTGTCCACTTATTTATAAAGATCCCATAAGTCTTGAGGACATAAGCACCGGCAGGGGAAGCTGAGGCATAGGGTCTGTCTTGGCCCTTTATTTTCATCCATTCTCCTTTCATCCTTCCTTTCATTCATCTATTTATTCTTTAAATCACATGGCTCAAAGGGCTGCATATTCTACACCTTGACCACGTCTTGCTTATTTTTCTAAAAGGATAATTCAATGAATATTTATTTTCAAAGAGATCTCTTTACCAAGATGTAGATGTAAGAAGACCCCTAAAGATGATGAAGTAACTTGGCTAGTCAGGGCCAGCTGTTTCTCTCCCTAGACCTGAAGGAGTGGGAGGCTGGGGTTACTGAACTGAGAAGGAGAGAATCATACGGTGAACCTCATCATAAAAAGTGGTGACCTGTTGTCTAAGGCCATAGCCCACCCAGGGAAACCTGATAGCAGGTAGTAGCCTGGCTCTCTGCTCTGCTCTCTGCTCTCTTCCCTCTCTCTGATCTCTGCCCGGGCTCCTCGCTGGCTGAACTGATCTAAAGCCAGAGGGTAGGGGAGCCCTGGCGATAGAACATACAGCAGAGCAACCTCCTGCGGCAGAGAACTGGATGGTGAAGAGTGGATTTAGAAAGGCAAATGGAAAGCATTTGGTAGAATTACTCACCTACTTATCTGAATGTTCCATTTTTAACCAAACTATATTTTGCTAGGTGTTCATGTCCTTACTTTGCCTACAAGAATACCATAGAGTTTTCTTTTTTTTTTTTTTTGGCACGTGCCCCTAGCGGACACCGAACCCGGGACTCTGGTCCGCAGGCCTATATACTCCAACTGCTGAGCCAAACCGGCCAGGGCTATAAAAGTTTTCTTAATGTCCTTTTAAAATCAGATACATTAAGCCCAACCTTCCTTGACTTATTTGAGGTTCTGAGTTTTCCAGCGGTTGGGCAGGAACTAGATCAACTCTGGCCTCCAGTGCTCTTCCTGTGGTCTGTCCTCACCTGCGGCCTCCCTGGAAATGGTGCATCTTGTTATTTGTATTTTAATGATTTTTGAAATCAGAATATTATTTACAATTGAGCATAGATTTACTGTGAGGATCATTTTTTATCTCCAACATTTTATTTAGGAAAAATGAAAACCTTTCAGAAAAGTTTCATGTACAAATGTACAGCAATTTTTCTTTTTTAAGTTTTTTTGTTTGTTTGTTTTGTTTTTGTTTTGTTTTTTTTTTAGAAGAGAGGACTGGAGATGGAGAGAGAGATAGAAACATCGAAGAGAGAGAACATTGACTGTCCGCCTCCTGCACGTCCCCCACCGGGGATTTGGCCTGCAACCTGGGCATGTGCCCTGACCCCGGGAATCGAACTGGCGACCTCTTGGTGTGGTTGATGTTCAACTACTGAGCTACACTGGCCGGGCCAATTTCGCTTTTTTCATTAACAATTATTTGGAGTTCTTCATTCTTTATAGAATGATCTCTTATTAAATATTGAATAGTTATAACACAATATTTATAAAGTATTTATAAAGCATATCAAATATTGGTGCTACAAGTACTTGTATCCACCACTTGATTCAAGAAATTGATTTTTACCTTACTTTCCAAAGAGCCCTACATTTCCCTTCCTGACTGCACATCCTTTCCTCTGACCTCAGATGCAGTTATATCTGCTTTTCTTTATAATCTCACCACA